ACAAAGTCAACCAAGCAGACTTATTCAGATGAGACAGATGCATCAGAGGGCACAGTTAGAAGCTATGGATAAGTGTGCTTAAAACTGGAAACAGGAATATATATATTTCTTTTGCTCAAAGAGTTGTGGGAGTGTGGAACAAGCTACCTGTCCATGTTGTTGAAGCCGATATCCTGGTTGCTTTTAAGAAAAGGGTTTTATGGCTCACCCTTAAACCATCAATTTCTACACACTCCGAGCAATTTAGACTTGACAGCTTCAGCAGCTGTCTAGCTCAATTATAGTTTACAGACCTTTTCAAAAGAAAATAGAAGCACCCTGTTACTTTTAAGGCTCACATACGCTCATTCCTGACTTCACTGGACCAATAAACGTACTACATTGAACAACTCTGGATGACCTGCTGAAGTCTGGCCCAGAACCAGGGCTGGCCATTCTTGCAGTACCTCTGGTAGGTGAGCATTTGTGCCATGTTGAGAGTCTCTGTGCAAATGCCTCTCTACTTTGATTCAGCGCTTCAAACAATGCTACCCACATGTCCACGAGCTGGTCTCTCCCCCATCATATCCCAGGAGTGATGCTGGGAGTTTGTGTGTGGGTGGGGAAGTAGGGAGGGGGGGTTCAATTAATGTTTTTTTGACCCAAATCCTTTTGATATCCGCCCGTACCACTTGTTCCCCATCACACAATAATCCCGCTGATACTATAATTCATTTAAATCATGTTTCTGTGCTTCCGACTGTGTGGGAGGGGAGAATTGCATCTACAGCTGTAGATTGTTTTCAAGGGCTTAATTTAGCCATGAAATGCGGAAGTTGCATGCAAAGGCTACATTGATAAGAGCTGAGGTAAGCGCTCATTTGGGAAAACTGGTCAGGACTCCGTGATGTGCAGAATCGCAATCGTTCTGCACCTCTTCAACACTCCCAGCAGATGTTCAGCCATACCACTTGCTGCCTGCTCTGCACACGCACCCTCTCTCATTCCCCGCCTCTCGCACGAGCACGCACACCCTCTCTTATTCACCACCTCTCGCACGAGCACACGCACCCTCTCGCACAAGCACGCACACCCTTGACTTCCTTCCACCCCTAAACGAATCTGATTGATTTTCTTGTCCACCTGCTTTAATACAAAACATTACTCGAGCTCTCTGTCCTACTCCCTCCAACTCCAGAAAGTGGCTGCAGACAGAGGGGGCCAGGGATATTCTGACAGGCCAGAGGGGGATAAGGAACTGGGTACGATATTGTGGGCTAATTTAGAACACAAGAACAGGTACAAAGGAGTGGGGACCATTCAGCCCATCAGGCCCATTAATTAGTAGTTAATTGATCCTATGATATCATCCAGCTGCATCTTGAGTCAGAGTATTGGCTTCAACAACATGGCTGGGTAGCTTGTTCCTGAATCCCCCAACACTTTGGGTAAAGAAATCCCTCCTGTTCTCAGCTTTAAGAGCAGTTCCAATTTAAACGCACTACCTAATCAATATTCAATTTTTTATTTTAGTAAGTGATTGCTCATAATTTATGCTCCATCCTGCATCATGAAAAATGTTTTTGTTCTGATTGAAACTATCCAGTGTTTTCTGCTGTGTAACCTGCTATTGCAGATATTTAAAACAATTCCTAGTATTTGTCAGTTTAACCCCTTTATATCACCTTTGGAATGATCAGCAAGTATTATTATCAACCCACAGAGTACTCCAGCCTTAGAATGTGAAAAAATAGCCAAATCAAATTATACATTCACCATTTACAAAATGTATTCCCAACTATACAATCTTGAGAATAATTTTCTTTCTTATCTGCTTATCTGGGGCATATTAATCCCCTCTCTCCAGGTCTCTGGAGAGGCTCTGATTTAAAGGGATCTGTAACATGAAAGCCGTGTGATTTCTTAGCTGAACAGAGAAATTAGGTCTAGTGGAGCCACCACTGATACTATGTACTGAGCCTTGCTAAAGTATACAGTGTATCTCATTTATTTGACTGAAATGTTTAAGTGAATAGATTCAGTTAAAACTGAAAAGTTAAAAAAAATAAATGTCTACAAAAATCACAGAGGAAAATTGGAAACTAAAACTTTAATTGCATAAGTATTCACTACCCATCCTTGAATATTAGACTAGATAAGTCTCTGCTTCACACACCGAGATAATACAGTCTTTTCATTTTGTAATTCAATAAAACTGAACAACATTGGAAGGGGATGAATACTTTTTCTAGGCTTTTGGCCTAGGCTCTAAATCAAGGCCCACCTTTTCCAAGGCCCTATATAAATGGCCTATTGAAATTCTCTAACTGGTACATCTGAATGTCATACTGTTTCCACATGAGCTGAAAACCAGGCTTGTAACTGTCTCCAGGTGTGATTTTGACCCACATTACTGTGCATGGTTAAAACTATATTTCTAAGAAGGAAAGTCAGCTCTTAAAGTGAGCTTGGTTTCTCCCTTAGTCACCAGGTACCTGTAACCCAAAGATGCACGGTGACCTCAAATGCATGATGATAACAGAGCTCATCAATGCTATGAAGAGCTTTAACCTTTGCGAGTGACTGGATGTCTGCATGCAGTAAGCAGGACACCTGTTCATGTTCCGAGACCAACACAAACAGTCTGGAGGTTTGGTCAAGACTGCATTGCTATAAACTGCGTGTTCTACTCATGTGACACCTGTGTTACATAATAGCCTTATATAACTATGCCCTCATAAAAAGGTGGAAAAATATTTTTGTTTCATGCATGGCATGCACAAAAAGGACTTTATTTTTTATAATAATGACTCATGTCAAAAAAAGTTATTTGCAGCTGTTTGACAAGGAAAGATAAAGTAGGCTTATGTCCTTCTTTCAGGAAAAAAAAAGTTTCAACACTTTCTAGAGGTCACAGATAGCTCGATAAATATTTTGCAATTTACACCTTGCAGCTGGACACACTGATCTCTTAAATTTCCCCATTCCAGGAACTCTCACAATCCATATCAGAACTGTAATATTAGTAGGTTTGACATAAAAAAAAACTTTTCAATCTGACTTCAAGTTACTGGTGACTAGATGTTTCTGTGCAAGATTTTAATTTGGTAAGGTGCTCTAGGATTCCCTGATATGAAAGGCGCTATATAAAAATACACCTGTCTTGTCTGGAAGTGCTTTGAGATGGTGCACACTGTAGAAAGACTTACTCATAAATCATTGACAACACTATGCCTCTATTCTATAAATAAAACATCTGGAAATAAGCAAAGTTCTGGCAGTGAGTAGGGAAACGTGGTCTCTAGTCATTTAATTCAGATTAAATCACATCAAAACTGCCAAGCTGAGCACAAAAAGCATTCAGAAAAACAAATTGTGCTTATATAGAACAGCAAAAGCATGAACTAGTTCAAAACCTGTACCAATTTACAAATCCGCAAATAAACTTCAAAAACTGGGGTTACGTACGACAAACAATTCGACATGATTTCCATCAGAGTGCGTGTTTAGTTCTTTGATAACAGACTTCACGTGCACAAAAACCTTTTGCACAGAAATATATCCATATAACAAGGTGCTGAAAGTCAAGATCGCAAGATCTGCTTCTTGTTTTTAAACTCACGGTTTTACAGAGAAGAATTTAGTCTTTTCCAAAAACGAGGACAATGTGCTCTTGCTAGATATCACACCTGTCGTATTTTACAATGAATAAATAAAAACAAACCTAAAATACCTGCTTAGAAATGTACCATTAGAGAGCCCTGACAGAGAATAAGCAGCTGGGACATGGAGCACCTATCTGGACTGTGGGTGCAAGTGTGACTTGTTCATTCAATCAGAGAAGGCAGTTATTCTAGAAGAGAGGTCTCTAACCCTGATATTCAATCCACTTACTCTTATACGGTAGATCACCCTGAATCACCTGTTCTTTAAAGATTAGGGACACTTGTTTAAACAACTGATCAATTACTGTTTCAATGCAGGGAACACTGGCCCTTGAAAGATACTATGACTTCTGTTACAAATGATCTCTGACTGAACTGAACACACAACTTGATTATTTGATCACCGACGGGCCTTCAGAAACTGATAATGTAAATAATCGATAAACCTGCAGGTCCTGGGCTCTCCTCAGCTAGCCGATAAAAATGCAATATTGGGGCATGTATTTTGACCAAATCTGAATATGAAAACGTGCGAGCTTAAGTGAGAGAAAGAGCAGGTACTGTAGCTTACGCCGTAAAAATGTTTTACAGCATTTCGAAATTGTACGGTGTTCAGAATTTATAACCGTCACGTGAGTAACATGGTAAAGGTCAGCAGATAAACACTTAGACCCGTTTTTTTAATATAAATACTATTCCTTTGCAAAATATGCAAGGTTAATTCTTGAATATTGTGTAACTGGGAATGAAAACACATTTCACTTGCACGTGAGACAGTGAGCAGTTAACTGGACTTTGTTCGCGATTGAAAATAAAATACATTTTGTACCGAAGAGCTTTAGAAAACCGCATTCTTAACACTAAGCTGGTACTGCACCCCCGCACGGCACTGACAGGCAAAAGAGCTTTGGAAAGTCGAGTGAACAGTGAGGGTAAGCGAGAAGTGAGAATATAAGAGAGAGCAATATACCTACGTCGACAAATAAAAAACAAGACCGGTCTGTCGAACCTTAGAGAACTACAAATAAACGAATTAATCATATTCAACAGATATAAATATAAAAAAAAACAACCCGACTAACACCTTCTACGAACTTTAAAAACGCCTGGATTTCACTCTTCTGGGCTTTTTATTTTACCAAAACACCAAACAACTCCCATCTGTTGTTGATATATTGTTAAAACATCATTGTCACGTACGCTCTTGCTCGTCAGGCTCCTACAACCCTGGCGACATCTATCTCAGTTACAGTCGACAGATGCTATCTTTTTCAGCTTCACTCTTTCAGAGACTGCGCTGACAGCGGCTTTCAGGCAGTGCAGCTCAAGCTGAAAGAACAGTAACTGAACGCTCACCCATCAGGAGAAAGACGGCGTCCCAAAGTGGTCGACTCATCCTGGGGCTTTCCGGGCGGCGCAGGCTGCAACGGAACCGAACGGAACCCGGCTCCTGGACACTGAGACCTAGGCGGCTCGGTGGGGAACCGAACCGGGTATTCGGGTCCTGGACGTCTGTCTCTTCCCCGGACCTCCGGATTGGTTGCTGTGAAAGGCGTGTGGTGGGGTAACAGTCCCGTTTTGACTGAAATAAGTGCAGCTTTTCTTGATCTAAAACTTCGATTGTCCCTCGAAGAACATTATTGAAACAACAGCAAGTGCCGACCTCTCTTAGGCGGGTTTGTGGCTGTCGGACACCTTAGTCAGATGAGGCTGTACAAGGGCTGTACCCTTTCCTCGTTTCGAGCGTGTCCACCGGTATTTGTTGAAGGATAAACGGAGTTCAAGAGAAGAGTCCTCTCAGGTTCACGTCCAAACAATCCGGCCTCGCACTCAAAGCGTAGACTAACAGTCCGTTTGCTAGCACGCAGCCTAACAAATTTAAAATGAAAGCATTTAAATCTGTTACAATTGTCCAGTTTTCTCTTGCCGTTCAGTCACAGGCTTTCGTAGCTGTGTAGAATATAGATTCTCGTCTTCTGCAGCTTTCGGCAAACAAAAAAAGCTCTTCGAGTGACTGTCCTGGCGACTGTCCACCTTCAATTTCGAGGTAAAATAATTAAAACAAAACCAACCGAGGCGGCGGGCTGACGCCGGCGGGCGGAAAAGCCAGGTCAACTTGTCCACCGTGAGTGACGAAACGAAGGATGCCCCTGCCGTTGTGTCCTTACGAGCCGAAATTACCGTGAGGGTGTAGTACTGACATCCCGCTCACGCTACCATTCCAACTCTCTCCTACTCTTAGTGTTGCTGATTTTGAATTCAAAGTCAATTTCAAAGCTTCGCTGCCATGGCATGTTTAACAGGTACGCGCACAGATCCACTCCTGCAGTCAGTCCGTACTGCTCTCCAGCTTTCTCTCTCTCTGTCTCAGCTCCCTGTTAACTCTTCCGTCAGGAGCCGCACACACGCCGGAGACAGGTGTGTCCGCCCCTATCGGGCCTGTTAGGGCATCTCGTAGCGGATGTTGGCTGTGAATGAAATTCCCCAAAACGAGCTGTCGGAATGGGTGCGTCCTCCTCCTTCTTCCACCTGTTATTCCCATTCCGTTCTTAATGTCAGCTCGATTACACCGCCATATTTCCCCGACGGCAGTTCAGCCCAAGTACGGAGTTGGCTCGCTCTGGGGTAACGCCTGTCCGAGACGACGTGAAGGTGCTTTCGATAAGAGAAGTTATAGAGTCAAACTCGACATTTGAAAAGTCTTGACTGTTTTTGCACGTACAGTATGAACCTAATTTCAGGAAATTAAAGAAATAAGCACTCTCCGAATTTTTCCACAAATATTATAGATGCATTATTTTCATAGTCACCTCAATATTTACAAGGTATACACAAGTAGCAAGCTTCACATCGATTATATTTTAACACATGATTATAAAGAGTAAGAAATATAACAATTACAGTTTAAGACTCGATACAGTTTATTACACTTTTTTTTTAGCTTGATCTGGTCAGATCTCAGAAGATAAGCACGTCTGGGCCTGGTCGGTACTGGAACGGGAGACCTCCAGGGAACACCAGGCTGGTGTACGTGGTGTCGGTGTACCAGTAGGTGGCGCTCTTACCACTGAACCCGAATTTCCAAACCGATGCCCCAGTATAGTGATTGTAGGAGGTTCTGCTTTTCATGTGAGATGGAAAACCGAGGTCTTTACTCTTTGGCCATTAAAGGCATTTTTCCAAACGGTTTGGGGGGTCAACCCTGTGTTTTGGCTAAAAAAATTAACTGTAAACTTTAACAGTGTAAATCTCCTTAGACATTTTCTCTGAGTTCAATCGGCGAAGCGATCTCTCACTTTCCTCGCTTGGACTGCCGCGCAGAGGGGCTTCTCTGCGACTTCAGCTGCGGAAGAAACGCTTTACGATTCTTTGGGATGCAAAGTACTATATGAATGCAAGGAATTAATAGTTAAAAGGTGGGATTGATAGGCACCTAATTGACGCGAATCAAATTGTCAGGGAGTGTGTGTATTCAAATGTCCCACAGTATTCAGAGGCACAAAACTTGATTTATTAAAAAAAACCCAAGAAGATCACGTTTTTCCGTTTAATTACTATGGGGGCACTTCAGGAGAATACATACCTGTGATGTTTTCGTTGTTCAATTAAACCCGTTTGTAAAGTTTGTACATGGCGCCCCCTTCTGGCCACGCGTAAACATTCTGTTGCTGCTTCAACAGATCACAAACGCTCAGCTCCGCTGATATCATAACGTATCAATCATTACTTCAATTAGGCAGGGACGGGACGTAGTGCTTGTTGGCAAGATGTAATTCATAGACTGTCTCCAAATATCAGCGACTTCATTAAAAATAAGCGGGTTTAAGAGGGCTTGTTTCCAGGAAAGTCCCTTATAGACTCCACCCATGCTACATCGAGCAAGGGGGTACCGACCCTTCCTGTGTACCGTTTTGCTCAGAGAGTAGTAGTTTTGAGTGCATATGCTCCCAATACTCTTTGTAATGCTGCTTTGGATAAAAGCTTTTACTAGACGACTAATTGCATTTACTGCTATTACATCAATGTCACTGGATCAGGGTTCTCCGCAGTCTAAGTGCATAAAAAGACTTTCTACACGGAGGTATTTTACATGTAATGCTTTATCAAAGCTCGCCGCTCCCTCGTGCATGAGAATCTGATCACGTCTCATGTGCTGTTAGGCCTGAGGGCAATAATGCATTCATTATAAACCTGTGCTCGAAGCTAATGGCCAAAGCAATTAATCACGGGCCAAATGCATGTGTGCACTTGCCTGCTATGCTTTTGTAAACCAAGGAGGTTTACTAAGGAGGACCTATCTATCAATTAAAGGTAACATTACCCGCAGGACAAGCTGGGATCTTAGGAGAACATGATAGATGTCTTCTTTTTTTCTAGCGATTGACATCAATATTTAATCACCCAACACGTGTTTTCTTCTTGTGGGCACAAGCTGAGCGCTTTCACCCCCGGAGCAAAAGAGGCCGTGCATAATTAATCGTGCACGTATGAAAGAGTTATTCGTGATGAAAGAAGCACCTTTTAACAGTGTTGTATAGACACAGGATATGAACGCGTCGGGTCTGACTGATACTGACGCTGATCAAGAAATGATCCTTCCGTGTCTCTAAAAGGTTTCAGCCGTCACTGAGCCGCTCTTGGGAAATGAAAAGGAAAGAAAACTGAATGGGCATTTTTTTCAGGGGAGTAGAAGATTGTGCGGGCCGATGTTGTTCTCATCGATTAAGGAGCAGACTAGATGCGAGAATAACGACCGGTCATACAGTGAAGGAAGCACACAAATTTATTTTTCACCACACACGACACCTCACCAACTGCCCGGACTTCATCCAGACGATTAGTGAGTTTCCAACGAGAAAATTCATGTTTAATCGGAGACTGTGGCGACACAACGTCAGCAGTAACGCAACTCCTCTTTCTTGGTATTTTCATCGTGTATGAATGAGCTTATTCAGTCTGACACATGAGAAGAAGCATTTTATGGGAACTGTTTCTTTGTATTTACATATTCGTTTTCATCCCAAATGTTCTCCAAATTCTGTACATACATTTCCCCCTCCCCTGAAGAGAATAACCCTCTTGGGTAACACAAGGCAACCATTATGAGCCAGGAGCTCCAGAACACAACACAGCAAATAGAGAAGTTAGGAATTGCTTTAGACATTTTAGGTAACTGAGATTGCACACGTCCAAGGTGGACAGCACCGTGTCCCTGATCACCATACTGGGGCATTGGTTTGGAGAGCGCCACCTACTGGGCGATCAACACAACTTACTGCTGCAACCTGCTTTTCCCTGGAGGTTGTTCTCCCCAGTGCTGACCAGTAAGGCCCAGAGCCTCGCAAATCCTTTGAGATCTGACAAAAACAGGCTATGGCTTCTCCTTCTTACAATGTTTCATTGCGAATATAAAATATCTTTTTGAAGAAGGGAATTTTGAGTATTCATGGGAAGAACCTTAATACATCAGAAAGAGGGCTGGTGAGAAGAGGCTAATAAGCCCAGCCTGGTTGTTAGCATCTAGCTGGTTGTAGGATTTTTATGGATTCTGCATGTGCTCTTTATTGACCAAAGTGCCATTAAGTCCTGAATCAAATGTCTCATTTGAAGGATGGTACCTCTTACCCAGTGTACCCTGTCACTATACTGGTTTAGAAATTCTGGTGTAGAGGGAAGAGCGCCACCTAGTGTTAGAAAGCAATCTGATTTTCATTAGAGGTCTCCTACTGAACAAGCCTGCCATCACTTAGGGTGTGCATCAGGATAAGATCAGGCTGTATTGTAGTCCTGCTGCTACTTTTGCATCCCCAGAGTGTCAAAAGATTTATTCTGCCTATTTATTCATTGCCTATGCAAAAAGCAAAGAAAAATGACTGTGTGGTAATGGGAACATTTCAGACTTCAATACATATACAATAATTCAGTACTTCAATATAATTTATCAGCCACACCAGGGTGGCTGAAGAAAAAAATATTGACCAAAATGACCATACAGTAATTGACCATATAGTATTCACTTGTCCAATCTGGAGCTACTGAGGTATCTAATCACATCTAGACAGGAACATATACAAGAAATTGTATATGGGCAATAAAGTGATCTTCTTTTTCTCAAGCGGTCATTCTCAGAGCATGTCTGGCAGTGTCTCAAAACTACATTTCAGATCAGATCACTTTATTGGCCCTATAAAATTTCTCGCATAAGGAATTTATTTTCACATACCCCAGCTTGCTCTCCATGAGACACACAGACAGGGAGAGAAGCTTGGGGTCAGAGCACAGGGTCAGCCATTTATACAGCCCCCCTGGAGCAACTGGGGTTAAGAGCCTTCCTCAGGGGCCCAACAGAGTAGGATTCCTCTGCCGCCACGGGATATGAACCAGCAACCTTCCAGCCACAGGCACAGATCCTTAGCCACAGAGCCACCACACATTTTTTCCTGTACCACATATTGTCCCCAGTATTTGTAAGGCGCAGTCACCCTGTACTGGTAGTTGGCTCTCTGGAGTGGCCCTCCCTGAAGAACTTCCTTGACTCTGAGGGAGCAGCTTGCAGCAGCTGTATGAAACAGTAGCTGCCTCTCCGATCTGTACAATGTAGTGTACAATGTGTACAACGAGACTTTCCCATCTCTCTCGCCTTTATCCCATGAAGTCAACTAGTTATTTTTGAAAATAAAACCATTGTAGAACTGTCAGACATAAGGACAGGAATGCCACAGCACAAATACAAACCAGGGGCTTTTCTAAAAGGCCAAGGAACACATAAAATATCCTAAAATCAAGTCCAGTGTCCCTCTGTTTCCTGCATCATGGTTTACAACACAGTCCTGTTCTCTGGCTTCCCATGCATACTGTATGTCCTGGTTTCACAGTACTCTTAACATTTCAATATTTCATTTTACCTGAAATAATACATGAAGCTGCAGTCACACCTAGAGACAGCGATGCAGGAGAAAAAAAGAGAAAAAAAAACTATTTTATTAACACCAGAACGCAAAACAAAGACGTCACTTTGCAGCGTGATCACTAGGAATGCATGACTTAAAGCGACTGCGTGTTTCAAGATCATAGCAAGAATATTTACATAACACTGATGTCCAGGTTAGAATTTCAAATATAAAGGACTATTGTCTCCACCTGGTTTTTGTAAATCAAGTCAGAAACCGTTATTTTTCTAGCTATACATGCAGGTGCGTACGTGAACTAATGCACATATTAAGAGCGGTCATGTGTGTAGAAATTTTAAAAGCAACACAAGTTAGCTAATCCACGTCTCTCACCTCAACGCTAAATTCTGCCCGACAGGTTTGCTTGGCGCAGACTTGATTGACAGCTGCGGCTTTCACTCGCTGTTAACTGGAAGTCCAGGACCTGATTGGTGGACGTCGACGAAATCGAAGAGTTCAGGTCCGTATTTTAGCCCACTAGCCCCAGTGGAGCAGCTTGTGTGGGCAGAAGCACGAGCGGAGGGCGAGCAGGCATTTCAGCACCGCCGAATGAGGACAGCGCCGAGCGCGGCTCCCGAACACGGCGCCGAAACGGCCAGGGTGCGAATTACCCAGACTACTCCGCCGGCAGCCAGCGATCGTTTACGGAAAGCAAAAGTATTTTACTTTTTTTTTTTAAAAAAGAGAATTAATTCAATTAAAAGGTATTTCGATTCGAAGACACATTACATCCGAAATCCTTTCCGGCAGGGTAAGAGTTCGATATGTTGTCTGTAATCCCATGAAATCCGTATATGGATCCAGGTGCATCATACGAAAAAGATAAGTAGTTCTTTTAACAAGACCGGAGTTGCAACAAAAGCCTGAAACTATAGCTAAGTCAGATTTTGTTGTCATATAAACAGAAAATACCTTATTTTTTAATTGCACCGCTTTATAAACAGGGATTCTCAGATAGAAACGCATTTTACGTCTGATTTTTTAAATAACCATTCAAAAAACTACCTTTCAAATGACCGTGGATGGATTTGGGTTTATAAAGCTAAAACGACTCCCGTTTTATACAGACACGTCTGACTATACATTTACGGTTCTTATATCCTTTTATTTGGCTGCTGTGATTAAACCGTTTCCTTCTCTGCAGTCATTTCCTGATCATTTGTTTCAATAACGTTTTGAGTGTTTTGCTCATCTTATTGCTCCCCATTTATTTCAATTAATAAATAATATGACGCGTTGAAAAAGGAAACGCGGACATAAAATATTTAAAATATCTGCTGTTTCTACTGTGGCAAAATATTTCCTAATGTTTTTTTAATGAAACATTGAACTTCATTTAAACGAAATTAAAAGCTAAAAGCTAAATTCTCGATTAGATTGTCTGGACATGGCTGAGAAATTTAACGTTACCCGGGAAACTTTGAACAGACTCCTGTCGCTTTACAACTTGTCCCGCCGGGAGTTTATCAACCTCTACGGCCTCCAGCCGCTTGTTTACGTGCCCGAGCTCCCACGCGTGGCCAAGCTGCTGTTCGTGGCTCTGTACGCCGTCATCTTCGCTCTCGCGCTGGCCGGAAACACCTTGGTGGTCTTCGTCATCGTGCGCAGAAAGTGCATGAGAACGGCCACCAACCTCTTCCTCTGCTCGCTGGCCTGCAGCGACCTGCTGGTGACCTTCTTCTGCATCCCCTTCACCCTTCTGCAACACGTGTCCTCCGAGTGGTTGGGCGGTAAGTGAGCTCCTGTCCAAGGCTAGTCGCTGGAACTCCTCTTCGCACAGAAAAAAACAGAGACAAAAAAACGTCTGACAAAGTCACTCTTAGCAGTACTGTGTACGGACTAGTAAGGTACTGGTCAGAGAACCGTTCTCTGTCTGAGGCAATAAAAAGTGTACCAGTTCCCAGCATCTCTAAATGAATACAGCGACTTAGAAAAACAACAGCAGGCAGAGGTCAAGGGTCTTAAGAGCAAGGCAGAAGATACACAGGGCTGTTCTTTGCAGTGTAAGGCTATAGAGCCCAGATTTGGTCGTGTTCCCCGAACTTTTTTCTAGGAATGATCAGAAGCCAATGAAAGGGTAGGGAAGAAAAAGGAAACATCACGTTCGAACGTGACAGGCAGTGGTTGGCTTTCTGGATGAGCAGAAATGCAGAAAAAAAGCCACGTTTGTCCTCTGTTATGTTAATGCTGCCACATTATTGTGTTTTTCCTTTTCACTCCACTGTATGTTTGCCACAGTTTATGGATCACCAAGGTGGCAATTCTGCTCCTCCTGGGCCACTCTAGGATCAGGGTATACGAGGTGTGTCAGTTCAGGAGGTACTTAAATTAGACCCTAAGGGTCCAGATAAAATCATTTTCTATGTGATCTCAGCTTCCCCCCTTGAGGTGACACAGTAGCGCAGTGGTTAGCATTGCTGCCTCACAGCTCTGGAGCCTTGGGTTCAATTCCAGACATGGGGTGCTGTCTACATGGAGTTTGCATGTTCTCTCTGTGTTCATGTGCGTTTCCTCTGGGTGCTCCAGTTTCCTCCCACAGTCCATTGGCTTTGGGGAAAATCAGCCTGGTGGATCTGTGGGCGTCCTGTCCTGTCTTGCACCTGTTGCTTGCCAGGTTAGGTTCCGTCTCCCCCACGGCACTGTACTGGATAAGAGATGAGAAAATGGATGGATCTTCTCCTTTTTCAAGAAATGCAGAAAAGGAGGAACTAAGGGCCAGGGCAGATTTAGACCTGGGTGGTGTTGTAGACTGGTGGAAGGAAATTTGAAACAGAGAATTGTGCAGTCTGCGGCAGGAGGAAATTCTTCTCTGCACACTTTTATTTTCCTGCACCCGCTGCCTGATTTCTTGGATTTCTTGTGTGCACACTGCAATCCATTCTCTCTGCACACCTTTCATTCATCCTTAAATGGGGAAAGCTCATTTATCAGGCAGGGCCTGAGAGGTGACGAGGTGCTAGTCTTGCTGTTATTCGGCAAGGCTGGGGGCCTGGGGTGAGAGAGATTCCCAGCAGCCCTGCTACAGGGAGATACGCCAGACAGGCCCGCGTGGACAGGCTTGACCCAAGGGACCGAGCGCAAGCTGAGAGGGAAAGGCAGTACAGGGAGCAGGGGAAGCATCCCTCAGGAAGCAATGAATCATTCCTCTGGATGGTAAGATGTCACTTTCAAACACATGCATCTCTTCTCTCTATCTCTTGATCTACCCCCGGAGATCTCTGAGGCCACCTCTCCATCCTTTTGACTGCCTGATCGACCTATCTGTCTATGCACTCTAACCCAGCAAAAGCAATGAGATGGTGATGAGACTTTCATCAAGCACAGGTTTTTGAAAACGATCGTGGCTCAGTTTTATGGGTTTTTTTTTGCTCATGGTTACAGTGGGATGGTGTGGTGGTTAGCTCTATGTGCCTCACAGTCTGTAAATCCTATAAATCCTGTGCTCAGTTCTGGCCTGGGATACCTTCTGTGTGGAGTTTGCATGGTTTCCCTACCCCTGGGTTGCTGTGAGCCCATACTGTATAGCAGGAATCTAGCCAATGATTTGTCCAGTTGAGAGAAGTGACTCTTCTTTGTCATTTTTAAGTTTATGAATTGATATTTAGTCCTGACAACCTAGCTGCATAGTCAAAGCCAATACCATTGCTTCTTTCAAGCAACGACTGAATGAGATCCTTGGATCAGTTATCTACCAGACAAGCTAGACTAGCCAGCATGAATGTGTAAATTATGAGCTCAGTTGTAATTTGCTGAGAGAAAATTAGTTTTTGCCAAAACAGCAAGAACATGCAAACAGACAGGGTTTAGGATCTGTAAGTACACCATGCTACCAGACCTTCAAGTTGATGATAAGTACAGGTACTGTATATACAATAGATGAAAAGAAGCTCATGCAACTCATAGCCTTTCCTAACACCTCCCACCTGGCCACCTTTGAGCCAATCCTCTTTTATCACATCACAGGTAGCACCACCCAGTACTGGAGGATCAGCTGTGATTGGAGGAGAGCCGTGTCAATTATCACTACTTTGCATTATGGCAAGCCTGCAAGGCTACGGGGGTTGCATATCACACATTTAGGTTAGAGGGTGCTGATTGATCTCTTTTGTTCTTGAGCAGAGGAGATTATCCAGAGATTTGAGTAAAGTATTCAGAATCCTGTAAGGTACAGTCTGTTGGATGACATCATGCTCACAAATGAACTGAGGACCACAGAAAATGAGTGAAACCTTCAAAAAAGGGCAGGATGAAATTCTGAGACCAATAATTAACAAGCAAGTAAGCAAGAGGGAGCAAATGCCTCCTCTTGTGATCTTTCCTACCACCCAATTTTAAGCCATATAGCAGGCCTCTGAAATATGTGCTGAAAGACAGTAGTTTAATTCTTCAGGCTGTGGTCCCATGAAGTGTGAACACTGTTCCCCACAGGCCAGCTGGGCTGCAAGGTGTTGCCATGTGTGCAACTGGTTGCCGTGGTATCCAGCACTCTCACGCTCACCTGCATCGCCATGGAGAGGTACCAGGGCATCGTCCACCCGCTGAGGAAAAAAGGGCAGTACACCAGCCGCCGGGCCTGCAGAATGCTGGGTAAGGAGCAGGGTCTAATAAAAAAAAAACTCTATTTCCATCTTTTTGGGAGCATTTTCTGTTTATATGACACAACTAAAGCAATGGCCAATGAGATTCACAGTCCAGCAGTTTTTCCTCACTGTGTTGAAGAAAAACTTGATCGATCAAACAAATCTTATGGTCCACCACTATCCTGCCTGATCAGTGAGGTTAATGATGGACTGGTCTTCAAGAGTCACAGGATTTTCTGGGTCTCCTCTGTGCACTCGGAATTTCTTATATGAAGCAATTGATTGATTCATTGGTGGCTGTTTTGGGTGTTTAACAACTAAGGAGGCAATGTTAACTTGTGGGTAACATTAAACAGCTGGCGTTGGCTGTTTAACCTTTCCTGTTGTCCCCAGAACACCAGAAGTGAACTTTCTCTCCAAAGGACTTTTCTGATTTCTTCTGACCGCTGTTGACTGCTGACATTGCCTAACCAGTTTGTCTGGGCTTAGGTCCTCCAGATCACATGACATCCCAGTTCAATGCCACAAACTTTGAAGACTTTACACAACTGGAACTTCTGTTTGATGTTAGATTTTCTTCTGGAGTGAGGCCACAGCATTTTTGCTTTTAAAAATGTAAATCTTCCTCATGATGACTGAAGCAGAATGCCAATATTTAATTCCAAGAAGAAAGAGGGGAAAAAAAGTGGATGATGAACTGCAAATAAAAAAACAAGCAGTTTTGAAGCATTTGAGTCAAACATTGCGGCTACTTTCGTTCAGCTCGTCTCTGTCTCTCTTCCTTTGTGCAGGAGTGGTGTGGACTGTTTCAGCCATTGTTGGGTCGCCAATGCTGTATGTGCAGACTCTGAAGGTAAGATTAAAAAATGAGCCAAAATGCAAAAAGGTAGATAGGAGGTGCACCTGTGTAGTTCAAGCAGTAAAAAGACAGTGTTGGAGCTAGTCGATTGAATGCTAGTCAAGCATTCAAAATCCTCAAACACACTGACAAAGCCAGCAGACTTCTTCAGAATGAACACTGAAAGTGCATTCAAAATTAAGAACTGAAGGCAGTTCCATTCACAAAGAGTGGTGGGAGCATGGAACAAGCTACCCAGCCATGTTGTTGCAGCTGATACCCTGGCTTGTTCGGAGAAATAACTGGATGAGATCCTTGGATCAATTAACTAACAACCAAACAATCTAGATGAGCAGAACGGTCTCCTTTCATTTGTAAGCAATCTTATATTCTTATGAGGCCACTCTCTGATTGCTTTCTCTGAGCCATTCACTTCAGGTCTTTCTGTGTGAATCTCTTTTGCTGGTGCTGGGATGTTAGGGGTAAAGAGCTGGAAAAGAAAAAAAACAACCAAACCAGACCAGAAGCAGCTGACCTGCCCTTGCTCTCTCTCTGTGTAGGCAGAGTATGATTTCCTGTTTGACCGTCACCACGTCTCCTGTCTGGAGAGCTGGCCTGACCTCTCTCTGAGGCGCAGTTATGCCCTGTTCCTGCTGGTGGCGCTGTTCCTGCTACCTTTGGGCTCCATGCTGCTCCTGTACTCCCGGATCGGGTTTGAACTGTGGGTCCGCAGACGTGTGGGTGACTCCTCATCTCTCAATTCCTTCCACCGCCACGACAACGGCAAGAGCTGCAGGTACCCACTGGAGAGCGCAGGGCTTGTGGGGGCAGCCACTCAACTTTCCAGACCTGCAAAAAAAAGTAGCCAGTGAGAAAGTGTGATCTGTACAATGGCCATCTTGAAAATAGTATGGGTCCTTTGGCTCAGATCTAAGGGGGGGGAGAGAGAAAGGAAGGGACTGCAGGCTCTTGAAACAAGGATGTAGTCTGTAGATTCCATTGCAAAACTTTTTTTTTTCTCATGTCCCATGGTCACATTCCTCAAAACCTAAGGTTGTCTTTAATCTGCCACAATTCTTTTGAAAATGAAAAAAAAAAAAACATTTATGAAGGTATGTTTATTTTAGTATCTCTCAGTTATGTATTTGACAAAATTCGTTTCCAAATTCTCCAAAAACATAGCTTGGTGGTTTTATGAAAACTGGAGCTTGTTTTTTGTCATTTGGTGTACTGGTGATCCCAGCAATTTGGCTTAAAGTAATGCATTATGAATGCTGAACCATTACGATCTGCTTTTTGCTTGGGACACAGGATAGCCCCAGTTCACATGACTCCCTTTGATCGTTAATCAAATCATTTTAGAAACGTCAGAATGGCCGCTCAGCTTCTTTAACTGTGGACAGTTTGCAGGGCTTCACCTCCATCAGATGGAGTCGGAAACAAAAGATGGGGAGAAAATTGGGACCGATTAGAAGAAAATCACCCATCTCTAAGTTGCCATGTCAAGGTTTAAGTTTGTCTTTTTCCCCGTGTCTGTTGTTCTGGCAGGAGGAAGAAGCGTGCCGTGTTGATGATGGTGATGGTGGTGCTGCTCTTCGCTGCCTGCTGGGCACCCTTCCACATTGTGCACATGCTCTTTGAGTATGGTGAGCTGTCACTGAACGTCTGTGTGCACTGAGCTTGCACTGCATGGTGTCACGGAAATATACCTATATAAGAGAGAGTTCTCACCTGAGTAAGGTCTATTTTAATATTGCAATATTGGGAGCCGTGCTGTCACTCTGCAGAGTGCGTCAGAGACTCAACTTGCTACAGGCAGTACAGGCTTTTTATAAATGTTGTATGCAGTGGAAAAATACAGCACTTAGTCCCTTTTCTAATACTTCCCCTTTCCTTAGGACAAAAAAGATGACAACATAGAAACGAAAGAAGAAGCACCAATACATATTGTGCAAAGTTTAGCAATTGCACTCGGCTAATTTGGTCATCTAGACAGTATGCCCTGTCTTCTGACAACGTGCACGCAGCACAGCAGTTACATCATTGTCATATATATTTAAGAATCAATTTACCCATTAGATGTCCATTTCAATGTCATCTGCATTGGCCAGTTCTGGCTGGAGTTGCACTGGTGGTGTACAATTGGCCTTGGTGATGCTTTACCTGTTAGAGAGGCTTACTGTATAAACATCTCCATGGATCTGGGGAATAGCTGCATTGCTAGATAACAACAGTAATAATTATTTACTGCTTTTCAGGCCAAAGGATCCCAGAGTACTTTGGCATATACTGTGGGTGGGGGGAGACTCACTTCATTTGCTATTAAGGAGCAACACCCAATGGCTGACATATCATAGCCACCATGCGCTAATGACCTTACCCCTACAGCAGATCAGGAAGAGCACTGAAGCAATGAAAAATGACATCGCGGATTGAATTCGGGGGAGAGCTTCAGGAAAGGTGGTTTATTCAAGCTGAGGCGTAATTTTGCCAGACACCCCTACTCTGATGAGCAGTGCGATGGGATCTTGAATCATGTCCCCTGGTTCCTTGTTCAGGTTCTCTGCTCCATAATATGCAGATGTGACACTAGGGTGCTTGTGGGACTGTGGTGTCCTGCTTTTCAGATGTTGAGGAAATCTCAGTTGCTTCCTTCCTGGCTTTCAGTATTCAGTGTTACAGTCCCATCTTATCATCCCGATTTGTCTGCAGCAATGGTTAAAACATTTCACAAAAACTGTCCTAAAAGGGTTTATTAGCAAAGTAGGTTTACTGGTTACTGCATGTGATCCATTTTCCCCAGAAAACACATAGATAAAATCAGCTCCCAGATTCTGGGGATGTTACTTGATTTCCAGATCACTGTGGTACACTGGGAACACACATGCATGTGCTCTCCTCTTTTAAGTCTGAGCAAGCCTGTCATCCTCAGGATCTGAAACTGCCGTGTAGCAGACAGTTTCCACTTGTACTTTTACAAAGTGAACTAGACAGGCCATGTACCAGCTTTGCCAACAACAGGGAAATCAGATATTACAAATCCTGCAGATAAAGCCGTGGACTATCAGTAATGAAAAGGGTTGTTGTTTAAGTAGGAAAGGATACCACACAAATTAAAGTATCCAGCTTCTTTATAACAAGTTTTTTTTAAAAGGTCTGGAGTCAATATTTTCCAAATGCACCATTCTGTTTTATCTTATGTTGCCCCAGGCTTCCTTATCGACCTGAGGTGTTCTTTAAATATTTGATAAAAGTAGGGTTTTACACGAATAAGTCTTGGCAATGAAATGTCCTGACAGCCAGGAACAGCAATTGGTTCAGTTGATGGCTAATAATGGGGTTTGAAATACAATGCAAAGATGTTCCCACAAAACCGGAGCCTTCAGACTAACCAATTAGTCTATTAGCAGTTCATTTAGCCAGAGGGAGACACAGGAACTCAGGGACTTGTTAGCTGTTTGCCTGGGAGTTGCACTGATTCTCCTTAAAGAAAACCAGCTGTACTGGGACACCCAGTCCCATGAGCGACTCAAGAGTTTATCCTCCCTTGGGGTTCTAGACACGAAAAAATGCAAATTTCACCATCTGCCTACCTTCCTGTAATTAAAAATCAAATGTGCTCTGGGCAAGTCAAAGTGTCGAGCTCCCCGTATTAAAAATATTTTTTCCTCACTCATTTGATGAGAGGTACAGAGACTGGACAAAATCCAGAGATCTCACCAAGTACATATAGTACATCTTGATTTATATTGCAAAGAGCTGAAGAAAAAATGTGTTCCTATACAGTTGAGTGCTTTCAGATGAAGCGAAAGGACAGATGCAATTGGAAGCAAATTCAACAGGGCAATGCTTGCTAAAAATATTTTCTTAAGTTTACTTGGTTTGTTGTGCTGCTGTTCTGTGGTCTTATAGAAAATGAGAGGTCATTTGCACTTTGTTGCTAAGACCCGGGGTAAGCTATCCCAGGAGACTGTGGTCAGGATTAATCAAAACCTCGGCCTGCCTACCCATTACTGAAAATGAAATCAGCAGAAGATGGCAGATTTCCACCGAGCAAGGGGCAGAGGTCTGCCATCGAGTGCAGTGTAATTCATAACTTGTCACTGGCAGGTATGTGGAGGTTTTGATGCCAATCTTGCCCTGTGATCACTTTTCATGTGAAAAATACCACAAACAACAAAAAAAAAAATCTGCCAACATTTATCATTCTGGCAACGCTGACAATGGCTGCTCGGGAGAAGATTCAGATGCCCGGAGGCCTCGGTTTTTTTTCCCCCCGCCATCTCTGAAGCGAGTCCTCTCTCAAAGCTCAACCTGACTGTCAGAGCTGTCAGGAAAACAAAGCATCACTCTGCGGAGGAGTTTTCCCCGAGAGATGGATTTCGTTTTTGTAATTGTCTTTCCTTATCCAGAGCCATTTCTCCTTTCCCAATCCACCCTCTTCCAATCCAAGCATCTTAAAAGCTGATTCCAATGCTTTTTTATTTGCTTTTCAACAAACCCATAGCACTATAACTTTATGGTCTGCAACATGAACAAAGAGAAAGTGGGGGGGAAAAACAGCACAGCAAATTGACTTTGTGAAACTGAGAGTAAAACTAAACTGTACTTTAAAAGTTTTAGTGAAAAGACAGGTCTATAAGGGAATTTAATTACAGTCACAGAGTCTCTAAACGACCTGAGCAATTTGCTCCTCTGATGTTGTGCTGCCCATGAGAATGTTCTGTTGCTCATTGTATGGAGCCTGGTAAGAAAGCCTGACTCAGCAGATCTCTGGTTAAGAGCTGGACTATATTCATGCGATAAGTGCTTGAGACAACCTGGAGTTTACCCATTCAGTGCATCATATGTGAGCCGGAGAACCTAAAAGTACAGTCTAATTCAGTCCAAATTTCACTGGAAGCCAGGCTGCACAGTACCTTCTACACAGTAGAAGATATGCTGGTAACTAAGGAATTAAAGTAAATTTTGTTGGTGTGGATCAAACCTGAAGCAGCAGACAGGCAGAGCAAGCGTCTTAGCAATGTTACACATTTGTAAGATGTTGTAATGCTTCTGACATGCTCTTCAAGTGATCCCACCAGGCCCAGTGGAACATCAGGGTTCCATCAAGTACGATCAGGTACAGCACTGGTCACCCACTTTGCAACGCTAATATTGGGAGCCTATTTACATAACCTCTGTCTGGTCACAGTTTTGTTGCATCCATGCCTGATATTAAGATGGACACCGGTAAAGTAAGCAAAATTCAAATCAGTGGTGGTGATCTGACCAAGAAGCATTGTGTAAATACTAAAAAGACAAGTTGCAGTAAAATCCCTTAAGGAACAGTGAGTTAGTGGGGTAACATCAGCTGTGAATGATGAATTAGCCACACAGGAGACCGACCAATGAAAAGATGTACCAGTAATCCCCATGTACTTTTCCATTTGATCAGGTAGGGTGCCACGATATACGGAATCGAGAGCAACGCTTCAGTCCAGAAGGAAAAAAATAATGTGGTCCAGAGACAGAAGCCATCAGAAACCAATCATAAACAGCCCTGTGACTACTGTGCCTCAACACTGCATGAAAGAGTTAGCTAACTAATTAGCTGCAAGATTGTAATTGAACTATAACCACTTATTCCAGACTTGTTTAGAGAAAAGGCAAATTGGAAGACTGAACAGTAGTTGTTAAATACTTGAAGATCCTGGCAAAGTTTTTGCTAACATTAGGGCCAGATTTCAGGGACTCATTGATGAGGTAAGCAACACATGGGCAATGGGATTTAGGAAGAGGCACCGGAACAGAGTCTAGGAAAAATTAAGACATGAGGTTTTGTCACATATTAACTACCAGCTCACTTACACAAGCAGCATCAACAGCAGTAGAATAAGAGAAACTCAAACTAATTTAAAAAAGAGCATTTTGAGGGCTTGGCTATCATGGCTGTAGGAGACGAGGTCAGAAACTGGTTATTAATTAAACATCAGTTTGGCTTGAATACTCTGCTTGCGTAAAGTACTTGTCAGGGGTTTGCAGAGCACCTCGTAAGCTTTGCAAGTACACCGGGTTTTTCCCATGAAGCAGAGGGAGCTCACACTGTTACAGATTTGTCCATCGCTGGAGAGACAGAAGAGTGTCACCTCCGACAGCAGAACGCATGATAAACCAAGCATATCTCTTCAGGCTCAGCATCCTCCTCAGGGGATAGAAACTCATTTTCACAATTCGCAATGGTTCTAGGCAAGTGGGATAGAGACCCATGTACAGACTGGGGAGATGGATCAACAAGTGGAGAGACACATGGATGCAGACTCATACAGGAAGGGAGAGCTGCCATGTCCAGTCAGGTGAAAGAGTGAATATAAAGGCTGTGTCCTGTACCTGAGGGCCTGCTCGTCTGCTTGCAGATGTGCTGGCGGACTGGTGCGACGAGGTGACGGAGAAGATGTGGCTGGCTGTGGTGCAGGCCGTGGCCTTCTCGCACTCCTTCAACAACCCGGTCCTGTACGCCTTCATGAGCCGTGACTTCCGCCAGAGCTTCGCCTCCCTGCTGCCTCGCCCCCACCGCACCCACCCGACCAGCCACTGAGAGAGCCACCCCCCCCGTCTGCAGAGGACTGAGGCAGCACACCGGGCTCGGTCAGCTAGCATCTGGAAACCGCAGGGCTCCTCACCCTCCTCTGCATTGCAGACACCTGACTTGTAATGTCAAAGGCATTTGACGAATTATCAGCCACATACGTAAGAAAGTGAGTGGAGCAGAATTCTGCAATCTAAAGTGCATGATGAGTAGCTTAGTGCTTCCAGACCTACAAGCAAGACAAAATGTATATTGCTTTGCATCGCATGAAAGATACTAACATTAGAAAGAAAGTCAGCCTGATTTAAATATGGCTTTATCCTCAACACTAAAACAAGACCCCAGGCAGTTGAAGGTCCTGTTGAAAATGAAAGAAATGAAAACTAAGAGCTGGCGTACATAGATCGGACCGTCACAGATACTCCTTTGCACAGAAAAAAGTGGACATTTGGAACCAACTTCCAGGCCAAGCAGCTGAAAGTGAAGACCTAGGATCTGTCACAAAATGGCTGGATGAAGCTGAGAGATCAACATACCTGAACAACAAAGCAACCAAGATAGTCTCTTATTTCCAAACTCTAAGATAGGTCAATACAGGCCTACTCATTCAGAGAGAACAACTGTTTCTATATTAACACTGAGCCATTATTCTATACATAACAGCTTCTACAATTATTCTTCTACATAGTTCACCACTGTGCAAATACAGTAACTGTGAGGCATCTGACACAGAGGAAACGAAATCTGAGTGTTTTATATGACTGACTTATTGGACATAATTTGAAATGGTGGTCCAACAAGAAGGTTACTTTAAAATGTCTTTTTATCCCAGCTCTCAATAAACAAAAAAACTTAACACAAGCCCATTAATGTTGAGATGTTCATTTGTTGCTTGTGTTCTGATTCACACACCGGGCTCTATACCTGAAGCACTATTTTAATTAAGTCTCAACTCAAAGCAACACTGGGTTTTAAGTCCTTCCTTTTAATTTCCCACTGGATGCATTTCAGAAAGCCTTAACTGTGAGCTGTCGCTACCAGGCAAGGCTTTCTGTTTAATCTATTGATCTGGTATCAATAAAACTATTAACATGATTTTACTCATCTGCTTCTGGCTCATCAAAAAACGATTCTTCATTTGTGCATTTCATCTCCATTAGAGAGACTGAACTTCAAGCCTTCACAAATATATGCTTGTTTGCCACATTAAGATTTGGCATTTGCTATCTATTCTCACTCTCTGCTTTGGAACTGAATTGACAATGCTTAAGGAGCTGTGAACCTGAGATAAGGACTTGCTGAAGTCCAGTATTCTGAGCCTGTTTGCCACCCAAACAATGATAGGCTAATGTAATGGAGGGTATTACGTTTCCTCTGAAAACATGCACCACAAATGGGAAGCATGAAAATTTATTTTAGATATACATAAACAAGTGGATATTTTTTCATGCCCCAGTTTAACAGAAATTCAAGTTTCCCTACCACCTCCTTTCCTTAACCTAGCCCCGACCAAAGCTTTTTCAAAAATATAAAAATATAACGCAAGCACCATTAACAGGGCTACATTTTAGTTATTGTAAAAAAAAAAAAGTCCCTTGGTTATTGTTGCTTTGGTGTGGAATTAATTTTTCCCAACCTATCAGCCTTTGAGGGCACATGCACAAAGACTTAATGATATTTCACATTTGTTTCAAAAATCCTGAGCTGCTGAATAGGAAAATATTTCAGCATATCATTTTTGTATCAGTCATAAAAAAAACAACAAAATTGGGTGTGCAGGACCCAGGGCAGTGATCTTTATATCTGTTCACTTATTGTCACAGTCCAGTACCTCCTAGAGGTTTCCTGATATAATCACCGCCTGCTTCAGTCTGGAGAAAAGGGGATAAATTGGTCTAGTGAGCTGCATCGGGTATTAAAATGCTCAGTGAAGAAAACCTGAAAGACTCTGAGGCCCTCTTGTCCTGAAATTAAACCCTTCTGCTCAGGGGTTTCAGGCAGTTAAGTCAGTGAAAGGAAAGATCGTAGCCGAAGTCTTGAAATGTCACTGCCTGTAAAAATGCGCGTGCATCACCAATCTTGCATCCTCAAAAAAGAAAATCATTGTAAATCACCAGTTTAAAAAATCTTCTCAAAAATATCTGAGAAGTTTTATAAAAAAAATGGGGTGTAAAAAGCCCCCGCCCCCCAAAGATTTGAGTTGTAAAGCACCGACATAACAGTTAACAGGATGGTTAAGAAAGTTAAACAGGATTGGAGGATCGAATGTTAAAAAGCATCACTCTCTTACAGGTCGTTTGGCCCTTGGGTGGCCGAGTGGCCCCATAATGCTGTTTCAGCTACAGCACTCCTGCAGTGCTCTGTGAAAGCCAGGACATTAACTCTCAGTTCAAGACATTACAGGTTTATCTGCACTAACTCCGCTGCCAGCACTCCGGAGAACTGAGCTTGAGGTATATCCAGACAAATTACTGTTATGATGATGACAACTACACAAATGTTACGTAAAAAAATACAAATGTTTCGTATTCAAAAAAACTAAATGGAAAAAATCTTTAGTCCCTTGAGACTCGTGGACCCCGGTGTGGCCAGTGCACAGTCCTGCTGGCCTTTATTTCCACTGATACTTTCTGAAAAGAAAGTACGTTTTCTAAGGTGTTCCAATGCGGCGGTCGGCACTGGGCAGCGGGCAGAGAGAGGACTCCGGCCCCTCGGGGTGGCGGAGCGAGACTCCCCTGCAGGTGGACGGACAAGGCTCAGGACAGGCTGCGGCTGCTGCTCTCTGGCTCGGGACTGTCCACCCTCCGGTTGGGAGGGGAGGTGTACAGGAAGTTGCAGCAGATAAACAAGGGGAACACCAGGAGACGACTGTCCAGATTCATGACCACGTACTCCTATGGGGGGAAAAAAAAATAACAAACACACAGAGGGGATTTTCACACGATGTGTCTTTAAAGCATATCAAGCAGTACTGGTATCTGACCCCATCTGAGCTCCAGGCACAGCCCTGCCCCTCCTTCCCTCCTCACCTGGTCCTTCTCCAAAGCCAGCAGCTGATACCCAGTGGAACGGCTGAACACCAGCTTCCCGCTACCATCAAAAGACGCCAGCCGCAGCCTGGGCAAAGAGCAAAAGGGTTAGAGCTCGCAAAACAGAGCAGGTGGCTCCATGGGCAACCTGGGGCAAAGAACCCCCGAGCTCCGAGCTCTCCAGCTCACCTGTACGCGATGTGGCGGCGAGGCTGCAGGCTGACCGAGCCGCCACACGGCTGGCTCAGCGTGTTCCTCTTGAAGACGATGAAGCGGTTGGTGTAGGTGACCAGCAGGTCAAAGCCGAAGTTGAACCCAGTCCACCTCCAGCAGTACTACAGAAGGAGATGTGCACGCCAAGAACGCGATGAGAATTCTTTGCATTTCTACAACGTTTTTTATCTACAAGAATCTCAAGATCTTCTACATATATGAGGCAAGCCACTTCATCCACTACTGGGTGACGAGTGGCTGTATCTGTGCACCAGCAATCACAGTAGACAGTATAGGTGAAAATGTGGTTCACCTGTCAAATTCAGGGGGGACTTTAGAAAAGCCAGATTGCACAAGACCAGGATAGAATTTAGCCAGTACATCAGGGTGACACTTCTATGCTAAGGGCATCATGGGATCTTTAACGAATCACCAGTCAGAATCCTCAGTTTATCTCATCTGGAATATTGCACCCCCCTGTAGTACAGTGCCCCTGGTCACCATACAGTGGGTGTATGTAAATATTTATTCCAGACTGTCCTGACTGTACACTTAGCATCTTCAATAAGATATGAACAGAATGAAGAAGGAATCTACTGAATGTAGATGAACATGACTGAGCAAGTCATCTAAATTCAAAAGATTTGGTAGATCAGTTAATATTCAAGAGAGAGAAAGCTCAAGAGCAAATCATCTTTGCCTTGGACATCTTGTGCTAAAAGAGCAAGAGCAGGTGTCATGGGTCTAAACCAGTATGTCTACTCAGAATGGACAGCTCAAAAAAATAAGCTTGACTCACATCTCCGTCCTTGGCCAGCTTTCTTCCACATCGCATACTGTTCAATTCAAACTCCTCCTTATTGGCTTCCTGGGGGCTGAGAGAGAGAAATCAATTTCAAGTACAGAGGAAGATATAGGCAGCACGTAAGAAAAAGCTCAGACTACTGGAAGCGGAGCCTTCCTGTACAGGACATTCTGAGAAGTCAAGCAGCTGATAGTCATGTTACTAACACTAGGGGCATGGAAAAAAATGTCTGAGTACATTCGATGTGAACTGCCCCCCTTAAGAAATTAGTGGTAGACCAGGTGTTCCAGTGGTCAAGGTAAAAAAGCTTGCCTGCGTGTCATTTAAAAAACATTAATACACTGATCTCCAAGTTTAATGAAACACTGCAGACTACAGCTTTCATTTTTTAAGGCATACAGAGGTAGAGGCAAGGTGGTGCACATGTCAATCGAAAGGTAGAAGTGCATGAATGCAGATGAAGAACAGAAACCTGATGTGAATGTGCTGTAAACAGCATCCAAAAGGAGTGCAATTAATTCTTCAGCTTTAAAACATAGACTCCATATCAGTATTCACTTCTGAACTTGCCATGGAAGATCTGAGTCACTCTTATAAGTATGCGCATAAATTTAGTGGGACAATTATGAGCAGAGTCAAGCACCAGACTAAGGAGAAGAGAGATCCAGCCACTGCCAGTCTCATCCGAGTCAGCCAGCCTCATTAAGAAACTGCCCTGGACAGCTGGAGCTGTAATGAAAGCTTAATAGGGGAGTTCTAATGAGAAGGCCAGAGCTCTCTGGCGTTGTTAGAGGATCACGCTGCAATTACACCCCATGCCGAAAAGTGCTTAGTAAACCAGGAGCCCTCGCCTTCTTTTAGAACAGCCTGGGTAACAGGCACGCGCTATTGCACAGTGTTGCAGAACAAAAAGACTCTTTATCGTGAAACAAGCTGCACTGACATGCCCAGAGGAGAAACTATCAATATTTAAATAGAGTAATCAAAAGCTGTTTTAAATGGCTGGTGTGTGGGATCACAGAGTTATTAAATGAGTCACCTTGGAATACTGTGCTAGTCACATGAAAAAATACAAATTAGATGCTTTCCTCCCCCAAGCATCCGTTCCCTTCCCTCAAGATTAGCTAATAATGAACAACACAACACGTACAAAAAGAATACGTCACCAGGTCCTGCACTGTTCACGAGCCCTGAACGAAATTCAGCAAGACAATTTCTGAACAATTGACAAATACGGGACCCACCCCACCTCTCCAGCTACATACCCGGTGTCACTGTCATGTTCTGTCCTCAGCATGGCAAACCACTGGTGCTTATAGACCGCAGACAGCCACTCTGGAACACAACAGAGAGAGACTCACATCCTTTCAGCTCAGCACACTGCTGTTAGTGCAGAAGGGACCTGCTTTTGTGCGTTGTGACACCAGTACTCCACCCTCTCCACCTCCTGCCCAAGGGTAGGAAAATGAAGCACCAAACCCGTGAGAAAAGGGTGCATCCTGTATCCCAGACCTCATCAGTTCAGTATAGTCCTGAAAGATCTGGATTTATTGTAACCACAGAGTAGCTTTTATTTAACTGCAACATTGTTTAAGATATCAATTACTTGCCAATGTTAACACTTTACAACTAGCAAGTGGCATTTCGGATATGGCAGGGCGATATGTTTAGTTTAGTGAATTGTCTAAGAAACAGGGCTCCTAAATGTCTGCCATTGTGTTCCACCACACTTATCTTGATGCATTCATTGTCATACCACTCTATTACAGTATCTGAGATGGGGCCATTGCAGAACTCTATATGCACTAGTCAATAACGCTAAAACTCCAGATTCCGTTACTTCTGCTGCGGTAATTCTTGGATCTAAGTATCTTAACAGTTACCCAACTGATAGGTTTCCTCTGCTTTGTTTCCTATTCAATGCAGTGACGCGGAAAAGCACTTGGGATGGAGGTGGATTTGGGAAGACGGAGCGCCTTGTCCCGGACTGCGCTGGCTCACCGGAAGGCAGGATGGCGTCCCGCTCCACAATGCGCGCCGATGCCAGGTCGTTGATCACGTACTGCAGGCGGACGTGTCGGAAGACGGGCAAGAAGGGGATGCCCTCCGGAGTGTCCAGGAACGACATCCCTTCCGCCAGCTCTGCAACAGGCACACTCAGGGGTGATGAATGGATACACATATAAAACTACTCATGCTCTACCACGGCTCTCAGCAGCCAGCGGCACACGAGCTGTACGGACACGCAGAAGAAATGTGTTAGAATTTCTTTGATGTCGGTAAGAAAACTGAGACATTCATGCCTCGGGAGCCAAAGAAATTTCCACACTACATTTTCCTGAGTTCATGCTCCTGTTTGTGGGCCACAGAGTAGAATACATTGCCAATATAAGAAAACGTGACTAATGTCACAGGTATGCTACAGCACCAAGCACACTGAAGTTGCTGGAGTTGGAGTTGTGCATCAGGTCAGTGCCAGTGTCCATGAGCCAGAATGGATTTTATACTGGTGTGCAGAAGTACAGTACAAAAATTGAATTCCATTCATTGGAATGAGGAATTTCATTGTTTTAGGGACCTCTAAACTTAAGATGTAGAAGTCACAAACTCAGCTTTATTCCATTCTGTTAATAATTTTGTCATTTTACCCCACTGCTCTCTTCAGGTGCTCTCTGAAGGCTCTACAGTAAAAACACTGACAATGCATGTCCATTACAGCACGCTACATCTAAAGAACACAAAGCACACAGACCTTTCTTCTCCATAGCAATCCAGACATCTGCGTCAGCTAGCAGCTGTTTAACAGGCCCGTTCCAGGAGGGGTGCAGCTGCAGGAATGTCCACTGAGAGAGAGAGAGGCACAAGCAATGAGAATTTAAGCCTCTATTCATACTACATCAATTTATGCATTTCCACCCTCATATAACTGTTTAAATTGCTTAAGAAATACTTAAGAAGGAGAATACTTCAATATTAAAGTATTAAGGAGTTTAATCAGCATTCAAATAAATTAAGAAGTGCAGAGAAGACGCCAAAAAGCAATGAAAAAGTGAGTCCCTACTTAAATTCTCATTTTAAATTTCCATGCATGCACCAATTCATTACAAAGGAAAAAAGTAGTTTGAACTCAGATGCAAACTGGATCTTAGACTTGATTTTACCTAGAGTTGATAAACCTTAACAACTCAAAGTATAGCATATGTAAAATAAAGCTTTTCTTTTTCATTATATGCATTCCAGAAATGGTAAATAAGAGTGAATTCTGCCTTAGATCTTTTGAGTGTAGAGTTAGCTGTACATGTCTTTGGAGGACACTGCCATTTTGGAATAGTAGATTTTATCCCGTTGGCTTCACTTTCTTATTCCCATCAACTGTTTCGGAAGCAATGCTTAAAGCATTAATGCAGTGTGCTTACTTACCACCACTTCCTCACTTATAGCTTAATGTGGACAAAGCAATTCTGTAATACCTGTATGAACCGTATGACACAAGAGACAGGACAGACGCAATCAGATTAGACCTTCCTAATATGTAGGGGTGTAGGGGTCTTTAGCCCTGGTCCTGCAACCCCAAGCCCCAATCCAATGACTCTTATTAATCACCCCTATATTACCCATCACTCTCAGAGGAGCCTGACTGTGCTTCCTCATTCTCAGACAGCGGATGTCTCTCCGAGTCCTGATGTGAAGACGCAATTGGAGACATTAAACTGGGTGGCATTTCTAAAGACTACAGAAAAGTGTCCGAATCTAAAAATTAGTTCAGACGACTGTGAAAGAATCAGACAGCCAGTAGGAGCCGCTGCACTGTGATTACACTCTGCCAGAGTAACCTAGCCAACGTGACATGGACCGCTGTTTGCAAAGCACCCGAGTTCAGCACTTGAACATAGTGGGAACGGTATTCGACAACACAAGAAAAGCTTGTTGCTCACTTTCTTCAGAGCAGTGTAAACATCCATCTCCACCTGCATGACAAAAAGATCAGGTGACTTAACCAGCTGCTCCATCATCCCTGTGCTGAAAAAGAAAAAGACACCAAGTCAGCCACAGCACATACATATATGGAACATTTCCACTGTGATTAAACAAACAAGAGGCTTGTTACATTAATTTCAGGATGATTTGGGACTAGAATCTAAGTACTCTTCTGTGCTCCAGGGTTCTCTTAACTGAACAGACTACTTGCATGATTCGCCAGCTGATGATTGGTGTTGCCAGTGTTTAAAAACATGTAAGCCTGTTAAAAGCCTTACTGGAGTGGGACTCTTCAGGACCAGAGTTAGAAGAGAAAAAATAAACTTTATTTCAGTTTCCCAAATAATCAGCAGCTCGGGACCTTCCCTGGAGGCTCAACCGCTAAAGGTGCTTGCCTGAGCACGAGCTGAGCACTGTGATTGTGGGTTCGACCTTGGATCACATCGCCTGGACCGTGGACTGTGACCTGTGTGTAACTGTGACAGTGGACTGTGACCGGGAATCCCCTAATCTGGGATAAGAAGGCCAGGGTGCTCTCATAAATCAGTGAGACAATGACCACTATGGCCTCCTGGGTGCTTGCAGATATGAGGTGCAATTGTGAGGAGCACCATACTTGTGCAATTTGTGCCAAATCTCCAGTATGGGGATGTGCTGCTTGAAGTATTAAGAGACGAAGAGCTCAAAAGGTGGGCAGATCATAGGCTTGTAGCAGCAAGCTGAGATACGAGAAATACAACTGGCAATTCTAAATCACGTGGGTATAACAAAACTAACAACTCATTTTTTTTAAATAAAACTTCAGCCCACAAAGGATTTTACAGGTGGCACTGCAGAACCTGTTTAACCTACATTTGTATGGTTATAGGTCAATTATTTTCACCAGCTGTTAAACAAAATGCCCTAATAAATATTCAATTTAAAAAGAAGAGAGATGCTTCTGTAAGCTAAATATAGGTACAACATCTGAAATCATAGTTACGAATACAAAATCTTTCTAAATGCAAGAGGGAAATGAGAGGCACTGCCTGAGCCTGTCACATGATCCTCTAATGGAAAACTGCACTGCATTGCAAAGCAGTATTACAAGCGAGTATTCAGAATGGACGTCAGCCATAAGCACCCTTACCTGAGCTCCTTCATCAGCTCCACACTCTGGTGTGTCATCAGGTTGTTGAGGAGCCACTCCAAACACCTGGAACACAATTGATCCCATATGGTCAGAAATAAAACCTGAACAGAAGGCTCTCATGTCATGCTTGATTAATCCATTAATCAATTTCATTACACAAACCCTACATGATCTTCAGCTACGAAGACTTCTGTAAGACTCGGATCAATGGAGTTCTCCAGGATCAAGATTAGAGATCAATGCTACAGATAAACACATTCTGACATTTGGCTCAGACTTCATTAGTCCAGCATGCCTGCCAGTCTATTCTAGGGCAGAACATTTGCAATGAATGGAAAATTATTTAAGTGACTTAATGTGCAGTGAGTTGTGACAATGCCCTGTGTTCGTAAAGACTTGAAGGCCTGGTACTTGACTGCACCCATGTGGGCTAAAGGCTGCTATTGAACCTGCAGCACTGAGGCTTTTCAGAACGAGGGCTGGCAGACAGTGTGGTAGACATACTGACTCTTTCTTAACCGAGTCAAGGCCGTAGGTCCCAGCAGATGTGTAATATCCACATACAGTCTTCACAGTGATGGTCTCCTTCATCGTCTCCCCACACTGCTGGATCAGCCCGTCCTACACAGAAACACATTGACACTTTAGCCCAAAAAAAGACTTTCTACATCAGTTCCTACCTTTGTGTTTCATGCTTACACAACATCAAACCTGAAAACTTCAAAATGTCAAACCACCAAAAAAAGGGTAGTTAAGAAAACACTGATGAACAAAACAATTTATCCATGTTCTAAATGCTTCAACCAATCTGGGGACATGGGGGAGACAAAGTCTACCCCACAAAGCAAAGTGGGGTACACCCTGGAAAGGACACCAGCCCCTCACCGGGCAGACACAGACACGCAAACGTGCACACCAGGGCCAGTTTTCCCAGAAGCCAACTAACCTACTAGTATGTTTCTGGACTGTGTGAGGAAACCCACACGAACATGGGGAGAGCATACAAACTCCACACAGATAGCACCCCAGGTCTGGAAGGCAGGGCCCCAGTACTAACAGGCAGCAATGCTTGTCAGTCCTCCAACAACAAGAGGTTGATACACTGATCAATTCATTACAGCAGGTCAGTCTCATGATGTCAGGTCTGTTCATTATTCTGCTGGTGTTGTGCCAGTACTTTGTAAGTATTTATTAAGTCTTTCATTTTATTGCACGTTTATGGAGATGGCTTTATTGGTAGAATATAGCCTTTCTGTTTCATGATATCTCTCAGGTATTCTTTAAAATGTATTTTCCAGCTTTTTTCATGGTTCCAAGACGATTTTCCCAAATGTAGACATTATTCGCCCATGTTATACTGTGGATAGCTACTCTGGACACCACATGTCAGACATACTGAATTTGGCAATAGGCCTAGAAAAATGCCACTGTATGCCTTGATTGTGTAATTAGATTTATCCAGGACAAGCCTGGTCACGCTTTTTGAAATGCACTTCAAATGCATTTTGAAGATGTCATGATATTCAGTAGCACTGAGGAGTAATTCTCAGATTGCAGATAACCTGCTAGAATAATCATCAGTTCAATAGTACTTCATTGTCCTTGTAATACAAAATGTGCTAAACATAGTAATGGCTTACACAAGTAGACCTGTCAGTAGCGTCAGATGTTATGATCACTTTTTTGTTTTTGCGTAATTCAATCTTCAGTAAAAACTCCTTTCTCAGTTGATTTGCTGTAGTAACTGTCCCATCATTTGTGTTTATTGGAAACACATATCTTGGGATGTTCAACTTTTTCCATGATAATATTAACGTAGACGGAAAACCTATACTTAATAGTAAATTACCATGTCTGCATTCCAAGTTTTTTTTAAAGACGAGTACCTCTCACAATGCCTTCTATTTTGTGTATTTTTGTGATTTTAAATGCCAGTCTATTCTTATCTTTTCAGTGCAGTTCAATGATAAAGAGTAGGCTTTCCAAAACAAAATTACATTTGTTGTACAATACATTTTTTACAGTTTAATGTCAGTCTTTATTGATTTGTACCAATAACCTCATCATAATTAGTTCCCAACTGTAATATCAATCAATGTTTCTGTGCTGATTACCTAATGATTGCAGAGATTAGTGTGTCTACAGGGACACCTGTTGGATAATAATTGAACTGCAGGCTAGAATCTCATCTGCAAAGGTCACAATACTTTAAAAACTCGAGGCCAGAACTCTTGGCTAATTAACATTTCTATTTTAACCAGATCTAAAGAAATATTGTGAGAAAATGGACTGACATGGTCTTGTTTAGGTTGTTTTCAAGAGACTTAAAAATCATTAATTAAGTTTTCAACCAATAAATCATATTATTGAGTATTTTTCATTTACCACTGCCCTTAATAGGATAAGAAGCTTTCTCTAACTGTGGATACTTCTATCTATGTTCAAGAGAAAACTATCATGTTCTTTAAAATCGCACTAATTAAACAAGCGGACCAATGGTATTTCAGATATTATGAGCTGCAGACTTTAGTACAAAATGTATTGATGAAATGTACTGAAGAAGAATAAGGAATTGCTTACTTCTGTTGCAAATTTAGTGAAAGCAATGCTTAATCCTGGCTCAAATCACTAACCAACTATGATTGAGACCCCTTAAGAGGCGATGCCCAACAGGCAGAGCATAACCGAAACCAAGCTGTAGGATCAGTAAGTTAGGGCTCTCTTGCCCTTCTGGGAAATGGCCATCCCTGTAACTTGACAAGCATTTGCAGGCTTGCAGTGACATCAGATATGCACTGCTCCTCCAATCAGTGCTAACCCTCCCATCAGGCACTGTGGAGTGTGCAGCAGGTCTCATTCTCTCTCTCTCATCCTGCTGTCGGTCTTTCAAGAGGGATGGGAGTAGTTATTACAGAGAAATTTCTGAACAATTGGCAAGTGGGTAGGTCTATAACAAAAAAAAAAGCCTGCTTTGGTTTATACATTATTGCCTAGAGCTTAAAAAATGTTCAACAGCTCATACTACAATACTACAGGAATTCATTTCATTTCAATCCTGCTTAGTTTTTTTTTTTTACTTTCAGCAAAAGCTAATGCAACATTTGGGATTTTCAAAGCTGTAGATCTTTATATTTAGAAAGATGGGATAAGATGCATCATTATTAGTAATGCAAAGCAAAAAAAATTGCTCAAAGTTAAAAGATCACGTTTTGTGGCACTGACCAGCTGAAGCATGCAGGCTGCTGCCAGGATGCTGACCACTCGGCTGGGCTTGATTAGAACATCATCTCGGTACAAAGACCCAAACGCCACCTGCAGAGCTGCACAAGGTTATCAGTCAACCCTCTGTGTGGTTATTCATAGAAATGCATGCACATCAAAATAATGACAGGCTCGACATGCACTTGTATGTTACATACACAGCCACACCAACTTCTCACTGAGGTAGTAATCCACTACCTATAACGAGACAGCCAACCTCAGCTCCTGGAGGACTGCAGGAACCTCTTCATATTCCAATTTAAACCCTTAACAGAACTGACTGGATAGCTCAAATGGACATATGAAATATATTTGAGATATAGTCTTTTAAAATTAAAAGCCTATCTAAAATTGCGAAGCAGTGGCACTGTGGCTAAGGATCTGCGCCTGTGGCTGGAAGGTTGCCAGTTCAAATCTTACTCTGGCAGAGGAATCCTACCTTGTTGGGTCCCTGAGCAAAGCCTGAACCCCAACTGCTCCAGGGGCGCCGTATAAATGGCTGACCCTGCGCTCTGACCCCAAGCTTCTCTCACTGTCTGTGTCTCATAGAGAGCAAGCTGGGGTATGAGAAAAGACGAATTCCTAATGCAAGAAATTGAATATGGCTAATAAAGTGATCTTATCTTATCTAAACTTGAGGTGTAGCAGCAGTTGTCAAAACTCTTTTCGTGCCTGGAGGTGTCAAATTATAATCAATCTGATCCAGGTAACACCAGTTAGACTCTTGACTAAGCAGCTGGGATGTCCACAGTGGTGCACAACAGCTGGGAATGCCCGAGTTCCTGAACTTGAGGTTAAATCTTCTGTAGGCACTGCGGGATTTGCAGAACTGGCAGAGGACTCTGACAATGTAGTTTTGGAGGAAGACAAGAGTATGTTAAGCCACGTCAATTACCAGATTGCAAACTTAATTCGAGATGTACAAAAAGAGCAACTGCTTACAAATAAAAAAAAAAAAACGCAAATGGGACGAAGTTGAGAGTGCACTGAAAAAAATACATGTCATCCTGAAGACTCTTGCTTCTCTGACAGCACGTGCATACATGTGATATCAGTGCTGCCCTCCTGAGGTCAACACAAGCCCATTAATGGATGGTAGCCTGGCCTGAAGCTGTGGATTTCCAAAAATATGGGAGAAAAACACTAGTGCCCAGCGATCTGGGACTCAGGGCAGTGATGATCAGGGCAAGTACTCACCCTCAGTATCAATGTTCTGGTCTGGGATCTCCAGCTCGATGACGGTCATGCTGGACTCCTTCCAGGAGCCACTGAACATACTGGAGAAATAGCCCGACTGCAGTGAGAGAAGACAGAAAAGCACAGGGAGGGAGGAGTGAGAGAGTGAAAAGAGACAACAAGAAGAATGTAGGTAATGGTACAGTTTTGATACTATTCCCCAAACACAGTGGAACTGTACAGTTTTCTATAATCTTTTTAGCAGTAGTATATCGATCAGTCAGCTGTATTTAAATCATGCACTGGGCAGAACACCACAAAACACCTACCATGTCAGAACTACTGTAAATTATAAGGTTTTTCTCAGACCTTTTATACTTTTAATGGCTATAAACAATGAAAAATAACATCCAAGTATTTGAGAGTGCAGCTATAAAGGGATAAAAAAGACACCAGAAGACAGACATCCCAAACGTCAGGGCTGGGCAGCCCTGCTCTCTGGCACAACAGCTCTATTCAATACTGATGAGCTCAGGGGCTGTCCAGCTTCACCTGGCAGAGGTAGACCTTATGGAGATTCCACTCCTGGCCCAGAGCACAGATACGGATGTCACTGTTCTCTCCATTCAGGAACAGGGTCTGGTAAATGTACTTCGATGTAGTTTTGAGCTTCTTCCTGCAGCGAGAGGCAAAATGAGATGGAGAGAAAAGAGGTGACTTGAAAATATCTACCTATGAAAAGGTTTATTGTTTTAAGTTGGAAAATCATTTTCTTGACAAAACAAACAAAGTGTTAGGACATATAATTAAATTATAATTAAAGGCAGATAATTTATATCAAGAAATGTTGTGCTAAAAGTCTACAATGCAAAGACCTGATTTAGAATACTATATATAAAAATGGTCCCCATGTAACAAAAAATTGCTTCTCTGCAATTAGTTCAGAGACCACTGGTAACCAGATCTGTTCCCAGGCTTAAGGTACTGTCCTAAAGTGACAGAGTAAAATAATTTTTTTTTTTAGTCTGAAAATGGACTAAATGATTCAGGTATTCAGAATCGTGATAGGAATTGAGAGTCAACCCAATGGACTTCTTCAAAGCCAATTTTAATCTACGAGAAAGTGCATTTAAAAACGATAATAGATATGGGAGTACAGAACAAACAATCCAGCCATTAAACCTCAAGTGAAACGTATTAAAATTTTCAATAAAATGTTTTGTGGGTTTTTAGCATTTTTTGAAAAAATACTTATTGACAACATGAAACGAACTTGCCTTCTTCATCTATGGAATATGGGCATTGCAGGATCTTGCACCCCATAAAATATGCTGAAAACTGCAAAGTGATACCTGAGACTAGGATACATATTCTAAATCATATTTCCATCCTCATCCATCAGTGTCTGATAGAAGAGCTTGAATGCGTCAGGATGTGTGACAGTTCTGCCTCAAAAAGTGAGGAGGGCACGATTTAGTGGAGTGCCACATTCTGTGTGAGGTAAAGAGTTTAAGTGGGGTCACAAGTGCACAAGATCCAGGTATAATTTTTTTTTTAAACTAAATTTAATGAACAGGCAATGCTTAATAGTTTCATTTCTGGTAAAGTACTTCTCTCACTACACCTTAAGTATCTCAAGCTTCAGGGTCAATTGTCTAACTAAGGCTCAGCTTTGCTTAACCAGACAAAACACCGACTGCCCCCACATCTGGCAGTGGAGATAGGAAGGGTGCATTGCAAACACTTGATCCAGCTGAAACAGTGACAAGATGCTGGGGATCCCCGACCTGAGTGGCGTGTTAAGCAGGCGGTCCGGGTCCTCTTCCCCATCGCTGTCACACTGGCACCCCATGTTCCGCTTCCTCTTCCTGCACTCGCAGCTGTGCCTCGACTCCACGGCACCCCCTGGCCTCCCAACCGCTGACGCCCCCAGCCTGCTGCTCAGACCCCCCATTTTTCGCTCTGGAAAGGGCCAGGAGCACCACAGCCAGCCAAAAGTGACAGGAAGAAAGGACAAGGAGACAAAAGACAAAGCTGGTGT